TCAATGCCAAAGAATCCAGACCCTCCCTTATCCCGCATGAATTTATCCAGCCTATTGAAATACCAATATTAGAATTCATTCACAATACCAAATATAATCATAAAATATATAACCTCATTCAAAACCCACCTTACGAGTTTGCAGTAGGCACCGAAGAACTAAACACTATTAAAGCACTTCAATTGCTTTGGCCACTGCTACAAACTAAAAACATCATACGCATACTAGCCAAATTACTAACAACATCAGTTATGATTCTTGATATGATTGAGGTAAGTATAATTTGAATTACTCTTAACTAATAAATTTGAATTAATACTAACCATTTTCTATCAATGTTTGATTTATATTTCTAGTCTTCACGCCACGATCATCTACAAAACAGAAAATAAAAATAAAAATACAAGCTTGTTAAATTATCTTAAAATTCATTAATTTTTCGCACTAAATGATGTAGTAAAACTCATACCAAATCTAGTAATTTTTTTTTATAAATTATTTCCCCATGAAGCAGTAAACTTAGCTACGATGAAAATTTATAATTTTTAATTTCCCCAAAACGCAGTAAAATTCAAATTCTATGCAATAAATTGATAAAATGAGAAAGCAGTACTAACCTTTTCAAAATTTTCATTCACTCGCACAAGAATTCTATCCAAACTCGCACAGCTCGCCCACGAAGAAGTGTTTAAATAATGATTTTAAGTTTCAAGCTTTCGTTATTAACAACTCTAACACATGATAACAAGTTTCAAACTTTCCTTTAACCCGGTTGGAAAGGAATTATATACTTAACCAAACTAACCAACGCAGCTTAATAAACACCACAAATCATAGAATAACAGAGTGACTAAGAAAAGAAAACCAACGGTACCCAAACCGGATTAACCCAGTTTAAAACTGGATATTTTATTCTTTTGAAGACTATTATAAAGTCTAAGAAAGAAATAATAAAACACAAAAAAGTCGCAAGACAAACCCATACCAAAAACAAATTGATTTTTTTAAAAAGGACACAACCAAAGTAACATAAGAAAGACCAACATAAACCCAACATAAAACGTTATCACATAACAGGACCTCTCAAAGAAACAGCATGAAATCATACTCCCACTCCTGGCCTAACCCACCAGAGAGGACGTCCTGAGCATGCTCTATAGCCGGCCTAACCCACCGCGCTACATCCACGCTTTGTGACCACACTCCTATTTTTAATAAGAGGTACTCAAGGGTGAGTAACTCTTCAAAATAACCAAACTAAAACAAAACGCTTTTGTGAAAACGACTAACTAAATTCATGATTAAAAAACCGAATTAACATAATTTTATAAAATGTAAATCATACTTTGCAGGATATAGATAAATACACAACAACAAAGACGAACATCCATAGACTAGATGATCCCATCACACTCGAACAAAAGAATGGCTAAACACAACCGACATGCCGTCCACAATCACAACTCAAAGGATTTAGAGTACGACTTGACTTCGCAGAAAAGGACATCATTGAACTAGAACAATGACCACCTCGATGTTCAAGTATATGTACAGATTCGAGTTACAAGGCATCCCTTCCACACACGATTTTCACGCCATTCCCAGACGAGGCTGCATACAAAACAGTTCTCTACTAATACAGAAAAACCTGTCATAAGCAAACCATTTTGAAATCGGATTGATTTCATTGGGGATCAGTCGTTGTCAAATGACGAAGTAACAATTTCCTGTCCCTAATTTCAGTGTCCTGGAACGTTCTTCTTCAAGAGGAACCGGATAAGAAAATGATGTTCGCCAAATACCAACGTTCATCATCCATCCTTCAAATTGCAGAGAAGAAAGATAGTTCAAAAAAAACTCTGTAAACCCCGGATGGGTGGAACCTGATCTAAACTACATTTTATTATTGGATAAATTAGATATTTTACCACTGTAAAATATTTAATATTAACCAATCATAATCCACCTAACTAACAACCCACTTCTTTGTAAGTGCTGAAATTACTTGTAATTTCAGCACCAGAGAGATTTGAATATAACTTAGAAATTAGTTGCCTCTCTAAGAGAACTTCAGCAGTTGCAATAAGCCAGTATACTCTAGATCTATTGAGCCTAGCAGAGACTAGTTAAACACCCTGCGACTAGTAGATATAAGAGTAAAATTAGGATCGGTATTAGACTAAGAAGTTGCACGAATTTATCCGGCCGAAAATAAGATAGCGTGACGAGCAGACGGTGTACCCTATCGGAAATTACTCTATGAGTTAACCACATCGAAACTAACTCATGAGACTATCACTGCTTCTACCTAGCCTTGTTGTCTTTTTAAAGGATGGTGTTGCGCTGCATTTGAGCCCTGCTCCAAAGAAGTCGTTGAAAAAATTGTAGTCATGGACTATGCGTGTTTCCGTCTCTTGACTAGTGTCCAGGTACATTTGAGTAGTACCAGCTTGCTTTCCGTCTATTTTTTTTATTTTCTTGTTGTTCGAGGGTTTGCATCTTTATTGCTTCCAGATTTTGGGGCTGTACGGGTTTAGTAATTGACTAATGATTTAATCTCAGCTGTTATTTTGACCTGTTTTTCTATTTTGTTCGTTCATTTTCAGTTCAAGGTTTATTTGAAGATTTTTGAATCTTCTATCGATCTCCTTTTTAATGGCTGTGTTGATCGTATGAATTAGGTCAGTTTGGTCACCGATCTACTATTCAATCTTGTCCAATTTCAACTTCATCTGATCGTCAACCTTTTCGGTGACTTGATGCTGCACTGACTTCATGTAGTCCCCATATTAATCCAGATACCTTATTGTTTGATGTCAAAAAGTTATTTGCTATTCGTGAAGAGGATCCTGAATGGTACCATGTTCCACAGCGAAAACACGAAAGGGATGTCATACATTCTGCGCCCAATTCGCCGCAGGGGTGATTTGTCGAGTAGTGTTTTTTCCCTGCCATAGTAAGGTGGAAGCCGCTCACAACTCGGCCCCTTCTAACCAACAAAGGCTTAGGAAGGCACCAAGCTAAGAGGATGGTGTTTAACAAAACAACGAAAAATTTGATTTAATTCAGCTTGCAGCAAACTAAAAAATCAATTACCGTGTTTGTTTTTTGAACTATTAATGACGTCGTGCTAGATGATTATCATCATTGTTCTTTCAAGTCTTCCGTTTACCAGTAGGTTCTGGAGGATTTTCAGGGGGTTCTTGGCGCTGGCGTTGACGTTCAGGACAGGAAACGAGGTTTTTATTCTTAGTAAATCTCGCTTGTCGTAATATGGAATAGACTTGGTTGTGTACCATGTATACCGGCCGCTGAAATCCCTTCTTAGAAAGGACTGTTCAATCCAATTTACCCGGAATTTCATTCTTTTCTTGAAACTATTTAATATGTCAAATAAGTTTGAAAACAGCAATACTCAAGCTTGAAAACATCGATACTCAGTGCCATACTTCTCTCATAGAACAGAATTACCTTCAATCTTTTTCGATGAGCTTTCGCATGAACCAAACAAAAACGCATGCCCGACAGACAAGGATCAGCTACGTAACCTCCAATTTATGTCAATTATTTGTTTTTTCAGTGATCTTCTTAACGCAACTTCTTAAAAAAAGTTGATTACATTTTATATGGAGTATTTTCTTGCATTCCTTATGTTATTGCAGTGATTCTTTTAACAGTCATAGTTTAATCCGACGCACTTGCTCTAAAAATGCAAAACGTGAAAGGCATACTGCATCACTCCGAGTGCACCTTGCGCCAGCGCGATAGCCGAAAAACGTCGCGCGGAACGTTACCTTTTTCGATGTAATTGCTCTTTGCCACGGGGATTTTTCGAGCAACAAGTTGTTCGTCATAACAGCCCTATGACATCATTAACCGAAAATTAGTAACACCTACTTTTTTGTTGTTTTGCATCAACCTACCTTCAGTTTTACCCATAGCTCGTGGATAACTAAACCGGATGAACTATTTCTCTTCGTTTCAATTTCTCTAATTTTACATATATGAGAGATATAATTGAGATTGACAGATATTCAATCAACGCTTTGGGAGGACTATTTGATTCTTTTTGTTAAGATGCAAAGTACATTACCTTGAGGCTCTAATAGGACAAAAAGTTCAGTATATTCTCTTTCCTTTCTCAACCTCATTATCGAGACCCGTCACAAAGCCTTCCACCAAATCATATCCCTCAGGAAACCCAAGATGATATTACAAAGCCCGTTCCTACTCCATTTCCCACTTATAACCGCGTGATTAGCATCTGACTCACACTGGATAATGACCTCATACCTACTATACTACTAAGAGATGAAACGAAAATTTAGCTTTCATAATATGCCGAAATTGGAAACAGGAACCTAAAAGATCTTGACGTATTGTTTCCTCCTTCAGCTCCCTTCGTAATCACGAATTGCAGAGCTTGCTTCAAAAATCATTTCTCCTAATTGAATTTAAAATTGAACACACTTCTTTCACATACAATTCACGAAACTTCCCAGTATTTAACTTATTTTCTTCTGATTAGTAGTCTAAGTAAGTATCACTAAAGACACGCTTCCTTTTTCCTAGCTTCCTCTAACCACTATTAATAATTTTCAAGTGATTTTTTGTCCATTTTTAATCGGAAATGGACGATAGAACTGGACCATCGGAAATGGACAATTTTTAAGTGGGAATAATCGATAGAACAGGAAATGGATTTTGCGGATATATGTACAATACAAGAATTAATCGTTGCTTTTTCTTCAGACAAAAGCGCACAGTGTCATATAAAATGCCGTTTTACCATTTTTAGCTATATGCATCATTTTTTATACCAAGTATTTCCAGCTGTAGAAAAATATCTTAATTCACTCTCCAAGAACCAATTAGTTTTGAAGTTTTAAAGACCGCCGAATATGATCAAGAACGATCAGGACCCAAGTTAGGGTTATCTTTAGATCCTAGTTTAAAAAAGTGACAAGGAGTAGGAGTATGTTGGTATTGATCGTTTTCAGCTGACATCGGGAGGCCAAAGGCTGAAATAGCTGCAGATTTTGTCAATAAGCGGGTGCCCACTAGCCATGTGACTGCGCACTTCAATAAGATCGAAGATCTTGGTCCAGACTTCTACGAGCGCTTCCACATCGTAGTGTGTGGGTTAGACAGCATCTCGGCCAGACGTTGGATCAATCAGATGTTGATTTCACTGCTCAAATACAGTGCCGACGGCAAGGTGATACCAGAATCAGTGAAGCCTCTGGTAGACGGCGGAACAGAAGGCTTCAAAGGCAGTGCCAGACTCATCTATCCAGGTGACATGTTTTCATCTCAATTACATGCTACGGTTCCTTCAAATACAAAATAGGGAAAACGAAACATCCATGGAAAAACCATAGTTTTTGAAAGCAACCTTGATCTTCTATCCAACTTGCTCAGGTCGATAGTTCTGCTAACTTAAGTGGGCGTATAAATGACAAGTTTGTCTTAGAGTGTCATTATCCAAAGGTTTTTTATATTTAGGTTTGTATATTTGAAAGTTCAGTAATGTTTACACAAGCCATCAGCGTAGTGTATTACTACGAACCTTCTTTTTTTTTACTAACCTTGCAACATTCGCCCAAATACTACACAGCTACGGAGCGTAGAAAAAGTACCTATTAACGACTGGCAGGCGTCAGTTACCTTAATTCTACTCGTTTTTCACCGTCTCGACCTAGCCAGTTGATTTTTTGGTCTGTTTAGGGCTAAGTAAAAAGTTACAATTTTCAGGCCGTCAGTCAAACGACTTTTGATCAGCTTTCGTTTACATGCGAACACAACCACATAGCTGAGTCTCGGATCCTCAGACTGCGTGATTGCTATTAAAAACACGGCTCGAACACCCTATTTTGTTATGTTTTTGTTGACAGTTCTATATTAAATCCATTGGAGATGGATTGACCCTTTCCTCTTTCTAGCTACTCATATTCTAAAATATCAGATAATACCGGTGTCAATTCAAACGTTTATGGCATCAGAGTAGCTAAAAAGTTAGTTTACTACAGTCTTTCACCATATATCAGTCTCTGGGGCACGAAGCCTCCGCTTCCGTGTTCTCCTTGTAATAACGTCGTTATTACTCTCAATTCGTGGCACGGGAGGGTTCTGCTCAATATTCCGTCCCCACTGAAGCCTCCTTTCCCACTATTTTCTTCTGCTAAGTGTCTTATCGTGCGTGATCGTCACGATAAGAGGCTTCGTTTTTCCGTGTTAACGTGCGACTGTTTTTCTTTATTTTTGCTGTTGTTCTTACTTTTTTACTCTTTTCAGTTTTTTGTATTTCTGAGAAATATTCGTTCTTCAATCGAAATTTTGAAAATAGAAAATTCTAGAAAATTTCTACTCTCCTTCGCAGCACTTTTTCGTCGTTAAGGCCTTTAATCGTTCTTTCGTGTTCTGCCGGAAGGTTGCGCTGTGCCAGCCTGGCAGAATGGCACGCACTCCCCGGAAGTCCCCATCAATGTCCCCATTGATCGCATAACACCGGGTTATCGTCAAGTAGTGTTCCAATTCTCTATAATCAACCTTACAAATCGCATCAGAAAATGAAATTTATCTACTCCACCTCAACTCACTACGTGTCACAAATGGCATCATACTACATCCTACCGCCTTTCAACATTTTCACAAAATTTGCACCATGAGTGTCCTAGATAAAATTACTTTTCTGACTACTTACGTCATCTTGCCATAAAACTTCTTTTCGCTCTTGCTGATTAAAAGTTGGGACGTGGCACGGCCACGCACCCGTTAAAATTAACTTAATTTTACTCACCGATAATCTTTTTTTTTTTTTGTTTTCATGTTTTTTTTCTTCTTTTTTGCGGTTTTTTTTTGTGTTTTTTTTAATGTTTTTTTTAAATTTTTTTTTGTTTTTTTTTTTGTTTTTTTTTTGTGTTTTTTTTGCGGTCCTCTTCAATATTAAAACTAAGAAACTCTGAGGGAGCTTACCCAAACTTACCATGTCGCCACACAGTGAATACGTGTCTTACACAGGTTAAAAACTTGAGTCGTGTTTAAATAGGTAAATATACTCACCTATGCTCTCCGTATATATATAAATAGCACAACTAAAATTCTCTTTCATCAATTGCAACAATTCTCAAAGTTTGGTCTGACCAAACTGGATCAAAACAAAAAGTTTAACAGTTTCAATAATCAAACTTGGTTGATTAGTTTAAGTTATAGCACACAAAGACAATCAAGTTTTTCTCCTTCTCTCTCCGTCTTTCTTCTCCATCTCTGGCATACATCTTCATCACTGAATAGCCTCTTGCTCTTGCTCTTCGTCTCCACTGTCTTCTAGGACTTTCTCCAACATGTCCATGGAGTTGCGGGCCGTCCCCCAACTCTCCTGTTCTAACAGCTTCGGTTTGCAACAAGGTAGCAAGTCCACATTCACCTTTTGCTCCCGGTTCCTGCAAAAGCTGTTGTGAAGACACAGGCTCACATTCCGTTCTAGGTCAGCTCGTAAGACCTCTCTTTTTTCAGTTTCATTCACACAAGGCGCTCCAGCTACTCGCTTCACCGCCGTGGTAACAGCGTTTCTGTGCGTTGAGAATGCTCTTTTATAGGATCCCGGTCCTATATCTAGCTGGAAAGGCTGATAGGCTTCCGTGTTCCTAGACATATGACGCTTCGCGCGTTCATACATCCATGATGTCATGGCTGCACGGAACCAAGGCATCAACCTTTCCCTTGACCATATTCTTTCAATGGCTTAGGGTATTCTCAGAACCTTGCAGGTGAATCTGAAAAGGTCCAAATTGCGGTTCATCTTTTCGTTGCCTAGCTGCTCAGGTATCGGCACGGCCGTCTCCTGCTCACTTGTGCCCGCGTTAGCTTCCAACCATCTCACTGCCAGCATTCGCACTAACCACCACGATTGACACTTGTTGATTTTGATCGGGCAACCCCGTGGAGTACAACTTCTCCACATCCCATACTAGCACCATATTCCCGCGTTTGGGGTACCATAAAGTCTGCGCCAGGCAGTGACAACGATACTCCCCATGGGTCATCAGTACGTTCCTTCGGGTCCGATACCCTGAGGCTCCCAGCAACGGTTCCACTTCCACCATTATTCTGTGCATATCGTCTTTTTCTTCTATGGTGTGGAATTCAGTAGGTAACGCTCCACTCGCTTTCTGCTTCTGGAATTCACTCACATTACCCTCGTTCAACCTCATGAACTCTTCACCCACTACGTCCTGCAACTCGCCTTCAGATCTCTTCGGGACGGCCCGAATGATCTTCACCAATAAATCATATGACCTCTCCGACATTCTGGCCAACCTCACGCACTTTGGCACAGAGAAGAGTTGGTCGACCACGTGCTGCGTCCTCGCATCCATCACCACCATGTGCGTAGGGTACCTACTATTGCAATATTGTGCAGAGCTTGAACCCACCAGATATTTCGAGCCAGTAGGTCTATGATAGGCCTCACTATCCTTCAAATTCATTTCATTTTCCAGAGCCTCTCGCCAGCCTCCAATCTTCTGCTCTGTCTGTATCGCTCCAGGGAATACTTCCACACTAAGGGACGTCACTAGCCCATGATCACGCTCTAGGCATTCTAGTGATTCTATCGAGCTCGTCATGCTGCAAAATCCCAAGGCAGTGATCAAGTTCACTTCAGTCACTCCATGACAGTCCGCGATCAACTCCATTCCACTCTTATCCGACATGCTCAACCTTCCATACAATTGTGCCAATTGTCGATGCTGCTCGCTCAGCGTAATCAGGCAGTGTCCCGAGTTGCACACATGTCCGTCCGTTCCACTACTGTGAGCCAGGCAAGTGCCCTGTCTCAGCCAGTCACTCGATGGATTTCCTTCGGATGGTTCCGTGGATGAATTGTTCTACTGCTTCGTTACTCTCATGGCCAGCAGATGGTGTATCATGGCCAGATCGTGTAAACTCGCATCATCATCCAAGTCCAACGTGATATCTGCCGTCATATCCCAGATCAAACCGGCGTTTGGATATGGACACCAAGAAGGCTTCATGAGTTCCCACATGGTTACTAAGCTGGTTTTCATGGGACCGTCCCAAGAACCACAATCAAAATTCACTTGCACCTTCAGCTCGGGAACAGAGGGTTCGACCACTCGTTCTTCCAAAACAATTCCCAGCTTGGGTTGTTCCACCATCAGCATGCCAGTTTCCTTGATCCGTTCAACCCAGAAATCAAGTACCACAACTTGCTCATAGTCGAAGTACGCTTCCCTGGCTTCCTCATTCACGAAGGGATTATACGCCATCCCCGGTATGCCAGACACATATTGGAACGACTTCAATTTCCCTAGTGTTGCATAGTCTTTCTCTCCCCTGACTGCTTCAATTGACTCCCGGCTCACTTTCAGTTCTTTGTTGAAGTACCTTCTCACTTCTTCCAACCTGCGATAGCTCTCCATTTCGTTCGACTCCCTATTTGGTATGGCCAGCGGCATGTCCTGATATAGCTCCAGGAGTGCCCTCAGGAAGTTTCTTTCGCAATCAACTCCACCTTGCCGAATGGTCTTTATGCATTCTCCCAAAACAGGAGTGATAATACGATCCACCACGAACCTTGTGAAGCAAAGTGCATCCTTACGCTTAGCCCAGGCTATCGCAGAATCGTCTCTAGAAATCAACACTCGCAGGGCTTCCATCAATTCCAGTTCCTGTTCCTTTGATTTCAAGTCATTGTTGGCTTCGTATTCCGCCTTCTTGACGCCCATCAAGCACCAAGCCAACCGTACTTGCAGGTCAGTTCTCATACACGGATAAGCCAGGTATGCTGCCACCGTCGCAGCTGCATGCATCGTCTCGTCGAAGTATCTTTCGAGGGCCGCCCTCCAAGAGATTTCCAGTAGCCTTTCCATCCCGATTTCGTTTGCCTCCGAGGACATCACCGTGCCGTATTCCTCCCTATTTAAGTTAGAGTTCTCCGTCAGCTCTTTCAGATACTCCTGCATGGCTTGCTTCTCGTTCCAAGCCATCAGGTGCCCTCTTGCGGAATTCCTCGCCTTCAGCATCTCCACATAACCCCCTGCTGGATCTTCCACGTGGAATGAGTCTGGCACAGTGATTCGACTATACTCGACCTTGTCGAGTTGTCCCTCCAGCCTCATCCGGGCCATCTTGGTTCGCGAGGGCTTCTAATCATCAAGTCCTCCAGATCCGCACTGACTGATGACCTCCATTTCTAGCTTAGTATCCGCCAGAGTCCGTGCATTTTTCTTTGATTTCGTGGCTGTTGTGGTCAAACCTGCCAAAAGCATAGGGG